CCTAGTAAGAAAAAATAAGAGGATGGAGGGTGGGGGGAGGAGAGGCAAGAAGGAAGAGGAGACCACAAAAGTACAAACCCAAACCAAAACATCTCCAACCAAGCCAGGAGAAAAACGGAGGAGACTCTGAGGTCTGAATACTAAATGAGGAAAGAAACTTCTATCAGGGAAAACTGCAAGCCTCACCATTCCCAAAGGGATGCACTCGGCTCCGTTCAGCAGCGCTCCTGCCCCGCTGGGTGAGGGGCTGCCGGGGGATGCTCAGATGTGACCCCGGAGAGGTTCAAGCAGCCAAACCCCCAGGAGATGCTGAACAAGGGCCACGGCTGTCGCTGGGAGCCACACACCGGGCACAGGGAGACAGGGAATGCCGTATGGCAGCCTGCCGCCAGATAAACCAGCCATCTGCAAGSAGGAGAGTGCCGGAGTGCCTTCCCCCCGCAACTGGGAGCAATCACAAATGCTAATCAACACACAGACAGGAGCCCAGCATGTCACCCGGCACGTCTCCAAAGCTCCAGGAAAACCCCCCTTTCCTCTCCCTGTATCAGAGAGGGACAGGAAGATTCCCTCATCCCCTGCGTGCCTTTCCCTCCCCCTTGTCCCTGGCTCAACCATCCCAACAAGAAGTTTCCCTCCCTTCTAACTTCTCCATTGTCTCAGATGCATTGTTTGCAAATGTTCCCCAAAAATGCTTTGTAAAGTATTCTTTATTCCTGTTTCAGGTCTTTCCAYATCCCTGTGTAACACCTGGACTTTATCTCGTTACCTGTCAGATAGTGATAAACCTACTGCATGCAACCCCTGACTTACCATCTAAGATAAATACAATTTGTCTTGTAGCTGTCATTTTTTTTTAAACCATGCCTTCCACAGCTACATTTGTGTGGTAACAAAATTACTTAATTTGGGGTTGAAATGTGTACCTTTTCAAAAAATAAAAATAAAAATATCCTTATCAGCAAGAGCAACAGGACCCTGGTTGAGGAGTGAAAGAGTTCACACCTTTACCCACTCACATTTTCCAAATACCTGCATTTGCTGAAGTGCTTTGAAATGCTCTTTGCTGATTGCCTGTGGGYTGCCCACTGTGGTCAGGATGAAGAATGAACACAAAGGAGGCTTAAGCTGGACATTGGGGTGTTTCTGCACCCCAGGAAAGGGAGGATTCTCCACTGCAGGTCTTTAGGATGGACAAAGATATCAGAAATGGCAAATCCATAGCAGATCCTGCCTTGGGCACAGGCCTGGATTAGATGACCTCCAAGTGCCTCCTGAGGGTATTTTTCATAATTGAGAATTCCGTGTGCCATCTGTCCATTCTGATCTACAGAGATTTACTGTGGAAAAAAAAAGTGCAATACAACCAATTCCTGATACAGACACAACCTTTGTGAAGGGAGGGGCATCTTGTGACTCTACAGAAGGAACTGAAGYCTTCAGAGGTTAAATCACCTTCTGTGCATCTGCCCAGACCTTCCTGCCCTCCCAAGGCAAAATGCTGCCAGTTCTCAACCCCAACAGACCAGCTCTYAATATTTAGCTACAAAAGCATCTTATTAAGTAGGCAGCTTCCTCAGCAYTTTTTAAATGAGCAGAGAGGCAAGGAACTGGTGCTGTTTTGTTCAAGGAGCTTTACCAAGGCTGTTCAGGTGTGCTGATGCAAAACCTGAAGATGGTCCATTAAGCAACCAAGCATTTTGGTCCCAAATACCAGACCTGATGAAAGGGAATAACCCTCCCTTGATGTGTGAGAATCTGCCCTGATTCCTTGACTCACAGCTCAAGATCTCTTTCCTGGTTTTTAYTTTAGAGTCCAACAAAAATTGAAGGTTTAATAGCCCATCTCCATTTTCAGATGGAAATCACACAAGAAAGAACAACCTTGGGAGTTAATCACAATGCAGATCAAATGAGGAAATGAACGAGCAGAGCTGGAATCTGTTCAAGCTGAGGACAAGGACAAACTTTGCAGGACAYCAAGAGTGATGCTGGTAGCAGTGTTTGGATGGAGAACACCTCACTCCCAGCTGTGCAGAACTCAGAGACCTTCCCCACACTCTGCCTCGTCCCATCTGCAGTGGGTGGAAGTGTCAAACCAAAGTGRAGAGCTGAAGTATAGTGAAAACGGTGGGAAATCTGTGAAACCTTAAACATCCTGTACAGACAAGAAATCATACAGCCATCAGTCAGCCAGCAGAAAGGAAGTGGTGAAGGGGGAGGCTTTCCCTCCACACAAGATGGAAAAGCAGCCAGGCTCAAAAGCAGAGGGGAACCAGACCCTTCTGGGACAGGACTGAAAGGAAGAGTGAAGATTCAAAGCAGTCTCCCTAAACCTTCTGCTGGGCTGAGCTTTTCCCAGTAGTTCTTAAGAGAATTTAACCACATCATTCTACATGAGGTCCATTATTGAAGATTAAACAAGAAAGATGAATAGCTTCCAAAAGTTGATTATACCCAAACGCAATAGCACCAGCAGCCCTTATGGAAACATCCTATTAAAATACCAGTAAATACAGAAATGCAAACATGGAAAGCAGGAGGCTTTCCAGCTCAGACCTTTAGTGCCTTTTGCATTCACTGGTAGGACAGAGGCTAAAAACATCATTACTGGGCCAACAGCCCATGACCTGGTACAGGGTGATGCTGATTCTATTCTTTTATGCATAAAAATACATAGGGAAACACACAGATTRTGAAAATTACAAATGTACTACACGGGTAGCATTAAAAAGGGGACCTGATTGCCTTTTTAAAATTTTTTTTCACACCCTGGAATAGGTAATTGTAATTTTACGTACACACATACAGGTTTGCAGTTTGTACCCATGTTTTCCCTACAAATTCAGAGGTTCACAGCTTTGCTRGTTAATTCAGAATTTAATCCATTTGCCACATTAGACAGGATTTCATTTCCATAGGTTTTTGTGATACGTGATTGCRTTTATATTGACTTCTTTTATTGAGATTCAAAATAAGGTATTTCCTCCACAGTCCTAATTTAATTGAAATATTTCTCACAGTCCTGCTGGTCACTTTATCTAATCTTTTTCTACTTGGGCAATATGCTCCGGGGGTGTCTGCAACAGCAGGGGCTGACCATGCTTTCTCTCTCTCTCTCTGTTAGTTTTTTCTCTAATGCAGGAGAACGAATTATCAATTACTCTAGTTCTTGAGTTACACGTGTCTGAGACTTACAAGCCTGATAAGAAACCTGAAAACAAATACATCCAAAGACTGAGTTATCTAATAGTCGGCCATCTGCTTAGTAAAATAATTTTAAGTAGTTACAGCAATTCTATTAACTATTTACCAAGTGAGTCATGTTGTTCTCTTTAAGTTAACCCTTCCYGTCTCTCTGTGGGCTCAGTGCCCCAGGCGGTTTTGAAGAAGGTGCTGAACCACATTTCCTCCTTTCAGGCGACAGCAAATCCCGTGGACTCGAGACYCCCCAAACTTACATTGAACCAGGGCACAAAAGAGCAGTAAAGCAACCGTGACTCTTAGACCACACAAACCACCATGCAGAAAATCTGCCAGGAGCATCCCCGGCGAGGGCAGCACACAGCAGCACTGACACAGCGGGAATGGGACCGCACCTGCTGCCTCAGGCACTCCGTCAGGGCTGCTCMCTCCAGACGGCTCCGGAGCCCTGTCCGCCAGGGCCAAAAGCCTTCATCCTCATCCTGCCAGCAGCTCTGCAGACACCGCACACCGTGCAGCCCATTTCCCTGTCCTGTACAGGGGTGCAGGCCCCTCTGTGAGGGGCAGCTCCATGGACACACTCACAGGGTACCGAGGCTGAGCTCTCCCGGCCACAGCAAAGGGACTCCGCTGAGAGCTCTTTTCAGCCATTCGGCAGAGATGAGGCAGAGTTGGGACTTGTGGGGGCAAGGAATGGGACAAGACCACACTGGTTTGAAGCCGTCCCCTCAGTCCCTGCCCTCTTCCCCCTAACACGGCTGGGAAGTGCATAGAAATCTCCTTTGAAAGCACTACAGAGAAGTTTGAAGGATGAGGGGTGCTCCTATGGAATCACTAYTCTATGATTAAGCACAAATATCTGCTGAAGGGCCGGCGGAGGGCTGGGTGCAGGGAGGCAAAGTCCAGCACCTGATGTTTGAGGGAAGATCCGCGGAGCAAACATCTTGGAGCGCGGGGGTGTGTCGAGGGACTGACAGTTGGGAATCAGCTCGGAGTGAAAAGCACCGGCTCCAGGGGAGAAACACCATCCGAGCCGGGCAGGAGAAAGCTGTGGCAGGGCAAAATCGCCCCGTCTTGGGGCTGGGGGCTCGGCAGCGTGCGGTCACTTTCCAAATTGGTGGGACAGGCAGGACAGGGACCGAGGCTGCCGCGGACGCCGTGAGGGAAGCGGAGCCGTGAGGGAAGCGCAGCGCGGCTGGCGGGGTCGGGACCGCCGCGCTCGGGATGCTCCAGCGGGACGAGCCCCGCAACCCGCCCCGGCCGGGAGATCCCGCTCCGCCCCGGGAGCTGCACCCCGGGCCCCCGCCGCCCCTCCCCGCGGGCCCACCGGCATCACCCACCTGGCCTCGGGGCTCCGCTCCGCTCCGGCCGCGCCCGGAGCCGTGTGCCGGTGCCGGCGCTGCCCCGCTCCGCTCCGCTCCCGCCTCCGCGCAGGACGCGGCTGCCGCGGCTCCCCCTGCAGGGCGGCTGGGGCTGCGCGGGGCGGGCACGGCAGGGGGAACGGCAACGGCAACGGCACCGGGAATGGGAACGGGAACAGCACCGGCAACGGCACCGGGAATGGGAACGGGAACAGCACCGGCAACGGCACCGGGAACGGGAACGGCACCGGGAACGGCACCGGGAACCGCACCGGGATCCGCACCGGGAACGGCCCCGGGAACCTCACCGGGAACGGGAACCGCACCGGCAACGGCCCCGGGAACCGCACCGGGAACGGCTCCCACTCTCACTCCTGACCCCGACCCCGCTCCCAGCCCCGGCGGGATGGGTGCCCGGCAGTCCCGCATCTTTACCTGGCGGCCGGCGGTGATCCGGCGGTGCGGGGCTCGGTGCCAGCACGGAGAGCCCGGAGCAGCATCCCCTCAGCTGGGCTGGAGGAGAGAAGGTGCTTGCTTGAGAGTCCTTGCTTGTCGTGAGGGACCTGCAAGTGACAGAAGCGGGCTTTGACTGGGCTTGATCTGCATACAATGAAAGGAGGAAGGAAAGAAGAATGGAGAGGGGAAAGGGAAGGGAAAAGGAGAGGGGAGAGGGAAAAGAGGAGAGGGCAGAGGGGAGGGGAGGAGAGGAGGGCTTTCTCACTGCATTATTTTAAGCATCTACTTCTTTCCAGGCTGGAAAACCCACCCAGCGAGTCGAAGCCTGCAGCCGTACCACACAGGGCTGTGGTGGCACCGTGCAGWGCTGCGGGGACACCGGGCCAGACTGCACACAGAGAAACTTCACCCCCTTCTCTGCCTAGCTGCCATTACTGCCTACGGAAAGGAGCTCCCGTGCATTGCTACTCTGGAAGTGTTTAAGAGTTTTCTGCAGAGGTATTGACTATTTGAGAGCAGTTTCACATTCCCACCGGGTAGGTCCTTGTGGATCCCACCAGCACACAGCACATTTCCCACCCGCGGTGTCCCCGGGGCTGTGCCTGTCCCCAGCCAGCTCCGGGTCCTCCGAAGGACTTGGGGACAGCCATGACTCATCTCGRAGCAATTCTGAAGCAGGGAAAGAACCTCTCAAGAATTTGATCTCCTGCTCTTTGTGGCTCTTTTCTAAGTTTTTTTTTTTTTTTTTTAATTTCTATTTCCCGAGTTTACCTCTTAGCAAATAATTAATGTACGTGCTCCTATTGGGTGGACATTGCAAACAGGAAAAACCACCAGCGTGACTCCACACTGCCCACCAACTCCATAGCTTATGACAGACTGATCCATCTCAGTGACTGCCTGCCTGGCCTTCTCCGTGCAGGGACTGCCACAGGTTTGGTGCTTGTGCCGTGCAGTGAGTTTTTATTCCAGGATCCCCCACTCCAGAGASGCTTTGCTCCTGCTACCTTGGCCAGAAACCTTCCCACACCACTGACCCACAGCACYGCTCACCCTGCCTTCCCCAGCAGCAACAGCATGAACGACGCTTTACATTTTTTTTGGTGTAACAAGACAGTAGGAAGGAAGTAGCAGCCAAGTGGCACCAGCCCCTTCAGAGACAACCTCAAAACCTATGAGCATCTAAGCATTAAAAATTCAGCACTGGCAGCAGYAGCCGGCACCTGAGCTGCCCTCCCCTCCATTCTTACCCCAGTCAGGAAGCCAGGCCAGTTCATGGGCTGTCTCAGCCACACAGCTGGCAACTACAGAGCAAAGTGAAGGCTGCTCCAAACACAATGGGAATCCTCTGGGGAGAAAAAAAAGTCATTTTTCCCAGGAAGTTACAGAAAAGGCTGGAATAACTTACCACAGTAATATAAAATTATTTTAATGGAACACATACACTGACTAGCCAAGAGAAAAAGCAAAAGTGGGAGATGAGAAAATTAGGAGCCTSATCAAAACATGCTGCATAAATGATAGATTCAGAAATGCCACCTGCCTACACGATGTTTACCAGAGCTTTTTGAAAAATACTGACACTAGGAATGGGACACTGCTCATGTAATGGCCTCACATTTTCCCTGTCCAAGTGGTAGTRTTTTCCCACTCCTAGTGGATACTCCACGAGATTTTATGCTGTGCATGGTTTTTGAACTAGAGGGACAAATCAGAATCAGCTGCCTGCCAGGCTGTGCTGCGTCTGCTCAGTGTTGCTCCTTTCCAGGGCAGTGTTTCCTGTAATGTAGAGGCTGCCTCACTCTTTGGCCCAGATCCTCAARGCCATCCAAATTACTCTCTCCCACTGAAATCAATGAAAGCTGGAAATCAAAACACTTTAAAGGAGCAGGGATGCAGTTTMTAAATAYTATTTTATTCCTGAACACATTAAAMCCAAATTTGTTGCAGTCAACCCCCTTCACTGAACTGTCAGGCTGTCCTCCAACCATCCTATCCTCAATATATCACCTCACAAGTTTCCCAAGTCACAAAGGTTGATCACCATACCTTTGAAGGWCTCCAGAAATGCACCAGTGGATGTTTCTTATCCCAGTTGCAATTTTTTGATTTTTGAAGCTAACCAATTTTAAGATTATTTGACATAGACTACGTTGATTTTCTTTTAAATTAGCAAGTCATAAAAGATCCAAAGCAAATGTCCAATTACTGGCTGATAACGGCTCCCTGACCAGCTTCCAATGTTTCATAGAAGCTACTTTCCYTCCATAAAAGCATTCTGTTACCAGAAGCACCAGCCACTGGTTCTTTCCCTCACTGGCCGTTCCAGTTTGATGGCATATCACAACCACATTGTCACCTACTGATTTTATCTGTGCAGCTGGGAGTTCAGTGATCCAAGATGTTAAAAATCATTATTTACACCTCCCAGAGCAACTGGGCCAGACCCTCTATGACTTCTGMACGCTCATTTCTCACTTCTGCACCAGTAACTGTGTTTATAATGAGCAGCTGCTGTTTTATGTCCTATTCAGCAGTTGGATAGGGYAACTGCCATTACTATAATAAGATCTGAGTAGATCTGTTGCTTTTCTTTTGAACTAAGAAATTAATTGGTTTTCTATTGGTTTTATGCCATTGTCTCTGTCAAGTRTCAGCCCACAGTTCTTGTGCATATTCCACGTGCATTGTCCTCACCTCTGGGTATTTCTCCTTAATGCCCTCCCTCACCAGTGGCCAATGACAGTAAATTGACACTGAGGAATACAAGCAKCTTTTATATTTTTCCTTCATTTTGATAATACATGCAGGGGTGGCAGCACCAGAGAGTTCAGCTTCCCTTGGTCACTGGAGAATAAACCAGCATTACTCCAACTGCTGTGCCCAAGCACGCTTTGAGAAGGGATGACATGAAAAGACAGGCTGAAACCACCTGGAAACCAAACAGCTTCCACAGCCTCCGCAGCCATGGGAAGGTACTGCCACCCGTTCAGAGCTGGCTCGGAGTTGAAARGAGTCCAAGACTGCAAGGACAGAAATGAAATTTTCTGATTCTCCTGTATAGAGCCAAGAAGGGCTTTCTCATTCCTGGAAAGCAGAGCTGCAGTAATATCCTGTTCACTGTCTAACTGAACAAGCCAGATTCCTGAGTTTTGGRCAGCTGTAAGGTAGTGATAAGACTATTTGCACTTCTCAGATTTAGCAAGTGAGCTCAAGCACTAAACTCTAGAAGGCCTGTGTAGAACAATCCTTGAAGTACTTCCTTCAGAAAGGTGAGAGCAAAGTAAATAAAAACCTCACGCTTGATACCTACTGAAACTCACCCTTCTCTTTGCTGGCACTRCATGAATGACACCTTGGGCATGTCAGAGATGCCCCTGAGACACAGAACAGACTCAGAACCAAACCCAGCCTGCCACCCTGGGAAACAGAAAACCATACCCAGCTACTGAGGTCTCCATGTGGAGGACTGGAAATGATCAGTTTGCCTAGAACAGAATCTGGAAGAATTATTATAATTTCTGTCTTTAGAAAGAGATTAATGCCTTATCAGTTTGGGGACTCTTCTCTGTTGAGAGACTTTTTCTTTCTAACCAGACTGAATTATTCTGCCTGAATCTCCTCAAAAGCAATGGAAGACACCCRTGCTAGTCTAAGAGAAGGGATGAGRTACAGTTACTTGAGGTCCTTTGGATACACCAGCAAATCCTTCAACATTAAAGACAGGTAGATAATTTATATATATATATAAAATCAGTATCTGTGTCTGWATATATGCAATTATTTCACTCACATTGTTCAACATTAAATATTTGATTGCATTTTTAAAATCAACACTGGGAAAATCTAGATTATCTGAAGAGTGTTTCCTTTAACAATGTTACAYATGCAAAATTTTGCTGGAAATGCCTGTGGCTAAAATCATAATGAAGGACACTCTTGTGTCAAAGACTGATGCCTTGGCACAAACTGTTCAATTCCAGCATAGGAGGCGTTCAGCTTTTACCACAGGCTTAAGGAAAAGAAGCTGAAGTCAAGGTAAGATTTGCCTTCTCAGAGAAATGCAAACCATATCCCCAACAGTCWGAATTAAGTTTGGGTCAAGAACAAAGGAAGGATTTTCAGTAATTTCATGTCAGGAGTTGACTACTCTCCGTAAAAGGCACTGCCCAAACAGACTGTGGCTTTATTTCTCTCACTGCTATTCAGCATGACAGACTATGAGATGGAATTCAATCTAAATTTAAGCACTCTCTGTAAACTATTAATAGAAGAAAAACTGGTAGCATGAATCATCATGTGGGAGCTGCAGAGCAACAGCTAAAATATAACTTACCTTTACACAATAAATGAACTGTTGGAGTTGAAAGGCCCAGCAGAAGTCACTTAATTCTTCTTCACTTGAACTATTCTCCTTTTATTCTGAGGAGCAATGAGAGGGCAACCCTTATTTAACTTGACAAAACACACATTGTGTATCACCCACTTTTGTCACAATACAAATTGGAGACAAAAAGTAGCTGCTGACCCTGCTCCCCACCACTCCCTGCTAGGGAATAGTGTGCGCTGGAAGCGTTGGTACAAAATGACACAACTTCAGAGTTTTGTAAAGTTGAGGTTGTGTTTTAGCACCCCATTCCAATRCCAGCTGTACCTCGGGCCAAGGGGAAAACGGCAGCAAACCTTCCCTTTACTCTTCTTCTGTGCAGAGATGAAAGTCCAGCTCAATTCATCTCTTAGAGCAGCTGTTTCAAGGGGGGATTTTTTGCAGCTCCCGAACTGCAAAGCTGCCCCTGCAAAGCTGTGATTTTGCAGAGACAGCCCTGGCTATGCCCACACAGGCTGTGCCCCTGTGCAGCCCAGGGACTCTGAGTGTGGCCCCAAGGAGATACAGCCTTAACTCAACACAGTGGCATTTTGGTGCTCTGTGGGATATTTATTTTTGAAAAATATGATATTGTCAACAGCTCAGTGAAGTTGTCTCCAGACTGTTATGTCTCCTTCTCAAGTTTCTTTCATTTTTAAGAGCTTAACTTTTAGGCTTCTGGCGTGAGGAAAGAGCCTAAAATGGTTTAAGAAAAGGACATAAACAAGGGAGTGAGCTATGCACAGCCCCAGAGAGAAGCACAAATAGTGTCCCACACTATAGAATCAATGCAAATGTCTGARAGCAAAAATACTGGGAAAAAACACTACTGTGTCCAACCCTATTTGCATAATGGGATTAAGAAGTTCCAAAGAACAGAAAAATCCTGAAGGACAAAAACCATTTAAGAGAAGTCGACATAATATTTTTCAAATAGGGCATTTCATACATAGAAATTCAGTTTTACAAGAAGGGTTAAACAATGGCGACACAGAGGGCAATAGCAAAGACTAATAAAAATCTTCACTTGGATTACAACTGGTGGCACCAGTCTCTCATCTGCTTCTTTAAAAATTCATAGACAAATTTTTTCTTCTGAACAAAGGCTTGCATGAGAGAAGTTTCAAATCAACTCTTCTAATAGAAATGAAACTAATAAAAATATTTAATTAGAAATAAATACTCTTCTAATCTGCAGCTGCCAGGAACAGAGACAATAAGTAGCCAACTTCCCCATTCAAGGTGCTAGGCTGCAGCACCAAGCAGTAATTCATAGAGAAGGTACTGGAGCTTCCTCAATGCCATCACAACTTTCTGAGCAAATTCAAAGAAGAATTCTCTCAACCTTTGTATTGAGCATAAAAAAGAAAACAAAGCAGTTTGAGATATGAGAACATACGGAATGCTGGGCTCAAGGAAAGACAGAGCTGAAAAAGCAACATAGACAAATGATTAAGTGAGGGAGTTGAGGGAATGTGAACAACATGAAGGGCACAGAATTCAGCTCCCTTTTTGTTTGGTTTTTAAGTTCTACCAGTGGCTACTGGCTGTAAATAACTTCCCAGTTAATAAGGAAAGGTAAGAAAGTAGTTAACTTTCAATGATAAGGGTCYCTTTTAAAGTGATTTTGTGTGGTAATAACACGTCTTCATGAGCCCCTCTGCCCTTTGTAGAACTACACCCAGCTCTCTGCAACATCTGTGCTTTAGTCCAAGTCTCTTCTGTCAATCAAAGCAATTGTGAAACTCTTTATGACAATTTTAGCAGGAAGTTCTGTACTGTTAACCTAGCTCCTCCACAGAATTTAACTGCAGAAAAACCATKACTCCAATATTAGCTTTTGTGATTTAATACAGCATTTGAAAACAGTCACCATCCAGGATGATTGAGACCAAACCAGATTTAAGGCATTCTAATCTTAATTTCACCTGAAAATTTTATTTTCAGGCATCTGCTTTAAATAGTATGAACTKTCTAAAGATTAAATCCCCAATCTCTCTCCAGCACAGTTCAGAGACAAAGGGTGAGTGAGCACACAATTGCCTGACTTGGGTTGGGTTAAGTAACATTTAAGTAATTCTAATTCTGCAATGTGTTACAGAAGTTGCCTAAATGGAACATATTCTCTTCAATTTCCTTCTCTAGGACAATACAGGCTAAGCAGATGCCTTGAACATGCCCCTCTTATCTGGGSTATTCACTGTCTTATCACTTAAACCCCTTTAGGGGTAGATTCTGTAAAGGCTGCTAGTATCCCAAGAGAGATAGGACTTCCAAAAAAATCCTGAGCTGATGTGCACACAAGCCCTTCACACACTCCTTGTCCACAGCAGAGGAACCTCCACAAGCACTTCCTGCAACACTCCTGACAAAACACAGTGCCAGGAACAGCTTAAAACAGCCCCTTTTGTAGCAGCTTCACTCAAGGAAACAAACACACATTCTGCTATTTGCAACCTTTATTTCATGAATAATTAAGAAGAAAACATGGCAACATTGGCAAATTGAAGGCATACATACTAAATACTCATACAGAATACATTATGGAGAAAGTAAATGCCCAGGTCTTTAGTGGTCCTTGCAAACTGAAGGCATATTGGGTCCTCCAAAAGGTTTAGCTTAACATAGGCTTGCTGACTTTTTAGAGTTTCAATGATTACCAACTTGTGCCTTTCAAACCAGAAACAGTGTGAAATACAATTGGAAAACTCATCCAAATTCTCCTCAAACCTGTATTTCTCAGCTATAACCAGAAGCAAACAAAATGTTATTTCCTCCTTGCCATTTAAATATGTACACTAATACACCAGCCTAAGTATTCAAGACACAAGCACTTCTTGAAACATGTTCCATTTGACTCAGAACCTGCAGGAGTACACACACATTTATGTGTGCATATAGGTACATCTATACATTTATGCAAAGCCTCTCTCTATGTAAGACATGTGTAAACTATTCAAAAGGGTTCTGGAAAAAAAAGCCAAGTACTTGTACTTGTCTAGAAGAACTACTAAACCCATACACAGACTGACATACTACAGTTGTGTTTCAAGGAAGAGTAAAACCGATACAAATCAGAAAAGCTGGATGGATGAGAAGAGCTTTYAGAATCACTGGTTTTTATATCATCTTCAAAGGTCATGGAAAGTGAGCTTTAAATTAGCTATTTAGGAGATATTATTACTGGCTGCAGTGTCATCTCAAACAAGGTTAGTCCTTATCCAGTATAGTGCTGTGAAGTCAGACTGAGGCATCAATAAAATTCTGTTCTTTCACCAAGTCCAAAAATCACCCCACTGTTCTGTCAGTTCTGCCTCACAGCTGAACTGGATGTACCCTCATCCCAGAGGCAGAGGGTACCAATTAATGCCCTTCTGGGTTTGATCGGCAGAGTTGTTCAATATTGAAGGGGATCACTGATTTATTTCACATACACTGAACAACTCTTGATCATTACTGACCTAAAGTGAACTTACAGTCTGGAGGCAAACTAGTCTATGCCTTGTTTAGTAGTGTTATACTTTCTTCCCATTAGATAATATAGAGGAAAAAAAAGCACATTTCTGTTCAAAAAAAACCTTCAGATATATATAAAAGTGCTACTTAAAGAAAAAATAATGTTACAATACACATAAAACCAAAAGTTTCTATCAAACTGAAATGTTGTAAGWTACAAGGATTAATTACTTGAGTATATTACATGTATTTGTGCCCTCCTAGCTGAACTGATTCCCAAGTAACCATCCTAATTGAGCATATCCAATAATTGGAAACTATTAAAAGCCTCCAGAGAAATTTCAAC